GGGGGGGGGGGCGAATTGGGGCAGGCAGCCTGGGAAGGGCAGTGGGGGAAAGTTGGGGGAGAAGCGCGCGGCTGCCGGGGGGCAGCGCCTGAAGGGCGAGCCTGCCCGGGGGGGCGCCGCGGAGGAGGAGGAGGAGGAGGAAGGCAGGGCCTTGCGCGGCGCTGGGGCTCCGGAGCGAAGTTTGGTCCGGGCGCGGGGGGAGTTTGGAGAGAGGCGGGGGCGCTGCCGGGGCTTCGCCCGGGGCGCGGACCGCATCCTGCGCTTCGCCTCGCCTGTTTCTCGCACTGCCAGTGTGCGGCGCTTTTCCATACGCCGAATTAATTTATTAGATTTATATGCCGGCGTAATCTCCAAGCAGAGCAGGGCCCTTTGCGCGGGGATTTTTAGGGGGCGGGAGAGCAAAAGAACCGGTGCACGGTTCATAGAAGTCTTCAAAGGCCAAAATACTGAAGGCTTTGGCGGGGAGGGTAAAATGGCGATGCCGGAGGCCTTGGAGTAAGCGCAGTACAGCCCACCTGTGCTTTAAGAGTTAAAGATGCCTTTAAATATCAACATGATATTCAGACGGCCCTGAGCAGAGTGGGGGTCAGGGGTGGGCCAGCACCCTCTGTCCATCTATCCAGCTCACCCCGTCAGCCCTCAGCCCCTGTTTGGGGGCCTCCCCAGAGCAAGACCCCTCCTCTGTCACTGGGGCTAAAATTAGAGCCAGCCCTGTTGCTGCTGGGACACTAGCCATGGATCCGTCTGGGAACAGGTGGTGCCACAGCCAGGGCTTAGTGAAGAGCAGGGCTGGCCTGGACCCCGGCTCCTCTCCTCTTTCTTCTCCCCCTGCCTCTCCCCAGCCCAAACCCAAGGGCTGCACACAGCCCCTGCTGGCCTTGGAATAAAGGTCCGCCTAGCCTAGCCTAGCCTAGCCTCATGGTGGGGAAGGTTGCCATTGTGACAGGTGGAGGACATCAGGTCGGGGCTTGTCATTATGGCGATCAGCTGTGTGAGACATGGATCTTCTCTGGGACTCTTTGTCCCCAGGAGCTGCTTAGTTCCAGTAGCTAAATAGATTCCCCCCCCCCCAAGAGATGGGGAGCTGTTGTCATCTCTCCTTGGCGTGGGAGGGCATCTGGCCCTCAGAGGTCTCGGCTGTCTTGCAAAGTGTGTGCGTGAGAGAGAGAGAGAAATGAATGGGAACGTGGTCCCTCTTCTGCATCTTAAACACACCAAAGAGTAAGGGAGCAAGGAGAGCTTCACCTGGCTGTGCGCTGTGTGTTTGGTGTACGAACATTCTGGCTACTGCGGGGTTAATGCTGATCCTTCCTCTGGACAACCTCTCCAGTTGCTAACCTTTATTTATCCTGCAACTGACAGCTGAATGCCATTCATCACAGGGCTGGCATCTCTGTAGGGAGGGAGCCGCAAGCACCTCCCTTCTCGCTGCGGGGGCGCTCAGGCAAAGGTGTTGGCTTTGGGGGACTGCTCCCGCCAAGGGTTAAGCCAGGTCTGGAGGGGGACAGTGGGCAGGTCCTTCCTTGTTCAGACCTGGCGGCTTTCTCTGGGGCTGGGCTGGGCTGGGCTGGGCTGTGATGACAACAGCCAGCCGGAGCTAGCAAAGCTGCCAGGTGTATGGTTGGGTCTGTATGTTCGGCAGGGAAAAGTAGGAGAATGACTAAGGCATGTTACAGCTAAAGGCTGGCAAAATAATAAACTGATAAGGAGAGTATAAGGCCCAGCCAGAGGCATATTATGAATTAAGCAGGTGCTTAATTTCTGGCCCTAACCATGATCTCTTGAGTTTTATCCAGTTTCTGTGTGGAAAAAAATACAAAATGTTTGCTTGCTTGCTTGCTTGCTTGCCCTCCCTTTTGGGATAGAAACTTTCCTAAAACTTGGCATACAGGACCAGGAAAACACAATAGGGAAGAACAGTTAAAATGACCACTGGAGTCGAGAATGAATCTGTGTAATTTATTCATTTAGAAAGTCCTATGGAACTAACAAGATTAGAGGCCTTCTGGGTTTCCCAGAGGAGGAGGGAGTTTGGCTACTGCAAATGAAGCCCTGACTCTGGAAGCAGCTCAGGTGTTTTCTGTTTCTGAAGGATGGAGTTAAAGAGCTCCTTGTTTCCTGTTGAACATGACTGGAGAAAGTGACTGAGATGCACAACATCTGGAAAGGATGAATTTCAGGCTGGGCTGTAGGCAGAAAGGCCTTGGGGCTGGGTTTTCTTGTTACATGTCTATCCTGCCTTCTCCCATAAATTTATATTTACTAAAAAGCCATCAAGGCAGTGTGTGGCAATTTTAAACAATAGAACCTTAGCACAATCGAAATGTAAACACATTGAAAACCAGTACATATTGAAACACAAGAAATCATTGGAAATCAGTAGAATCTTTAAAAAATATGAGTGAGGAGAAAAGAGGATTAAGCACATGTCACAAGGACTAAAAGCTGTATTCTGTGTAAGATTCTGCTAACAGCACCAAGATTAGACTAATGCTGTTAACTGCTTATGGCAAACCTGGGGCAAACCTTTTTTAATGCACCCCAAAATAGTCCCTGGTCTTTGGTGTACATGTTGACTCAAACTTGTTATCTTATTATGCCCACCATCATTCATGACATTTCAGGTTTTCTGTTCGGGAACAGCTCCCTAGATTCTTGTCTCAAGTCATCCAAACTTGGTACTTAAATAGTTTAAGAATGCCAAGTCACAAAAGGGGTGTAACAAGCCCCTCCTTTCTTTGGCAGTGTTGCTTCTCTGCATTTCTATGCACCACTATTGTTTTGGCAGAATTGGCCATTGTGGCAGAATGGAGAAAAGTGAAAGGGCCGGCCAGGAGAGAGGTATAAGGTAAGATGAGGCAGGGAATAGACTAATTATAGGCTCTCATCATGCCACAGAGTAGTCTCAGATAGTAGATTCTAGATGCCGTTAAGAGTGGCCATGTGGGAGATCGACAATTATGGGTTGTACACACAGTCTAATTGGAAGTTTTCCCTGTGCAGGAGACTTTCTTAGTGGACTGGGGCCCATGCTGATGAACATATTTTGCAGAATATCATTGGAATTTTCTGGCTCAGCCATCCAAATGCTGTGGACTGTAGAGTCGTTTAGAAATCCCATGCCTGGAATGCTAGAGCATTTGGAGACTCTGCCTGTGCAATGTTCCAGATCCATGGGGACCAGAAACTTGGGATTTAAAAAGAACAGTATAATTTAATGGTGGAGCTGATCCAAATACCATGCAGACTTCCACCTGAATATGTAGAAACCCTGGACTACGTAATGCTGTGGTGCGCAATGCTGCAGTGTGCTGTACATGAGTTTCAGCATATACATAAGTTTTATTTGAAGGCCTCTGAGGTCCTCATTTCTACCCTTCCAAACTAAATTCTGAATTTTTCTTTCTGTGGAAATAATTGTGCTGGGCTGCTAGCCTGCCGGTGAGCTGAATACTATCTAGTCACAGGGTTTGTGGGTTCCTTGTTAGTCATGGGAGGCATTCTGCACAAGCTCAGAGGTACCAAATAATTTGATTTGTCCTGGCACGTGAAGAGAAGGCAGAGAGAAGATACACATTCTGTTTCTTCCCTTCACCCCTGCTGCTGCTTCTCCTAACCTGGCAGGAAACAGACAAACTTGATTGTACACTTGGTAAATAAAGACACCCCTACAGGGAATTCAGCAGAAATATCTTGCATATAACAAGATATTTGTTGTTCTGTTTCTGAGGAGGATGGGCTGAGCTAGGCAAGGATGGCGAGAGCTGCATCATGTTTGGCTGCGTGGTGACGGCAGGACTCTTAAGCAGGAGTTAAGACTCGATAAATTTTATTTCTATACCACCCAAAACGGAAGTTTGCTGAGAGCTTACAACAACACATTTTAAATCAGTGCCCTTTTAGCATTTTATCCCATTCTTCAACCAAAGGGAATGGAATGAAAATGTTCCAGACCTGTCCATAAAATGTGTGTGTGTGTGTGAGTGAGTGAGTGAGCGAGCGAGCCCGCGAGCAAAAAGGTCCCTGCCTCTCAGCTATGTGCTTACCCAGAGTTTGTAGGAATTCTTTGAACAGGTGCAGTCTCCAAAAATACTCACCCCCTCCCCAGGGCCCGTGGAGTTGGCGGATGAAGAAGGATGAGATGGGATACGGATGACCCAGGATGGAGAAATAAAAGAGGACCATTCCTTCTGTTTCCAGCACAAACCCCATCGGGGAAATTGCCCTGCAGGCCTCCTCTTTCTCCAAGTCACTAGAAGAACCTTTCAGTCTCTTCCAGGATACCTGCCATCTTGTCCTTAAATCTGCCCTCTTTGAGGGGGCTTTCCCCCGCCCCCCCAGGGGGAGCCACAAGAAAAAGGCTGTTGCCTATGTAATTGCTTTTTCAGTACCATGAATAGCGAACAATTCCTCCCGGAGAACAATTTCCTATTTTAAGCCATCTGTGTGCCCTTAACAAGGAAACTTGAAAAGAGACTGCAATCGGAGAGGGTCTGTGCGCGTATATGTTTTTACGCCAATAGGATTTAATTTGCTCGAGGGGCTTCCCTCCTGCATGTGATGCTGGGAACAGCGTGCTGACGGCCCCTTCTCCAAATTGCGCACTCATGTTTTTTTAAATACCATTTTGTTCAAGTTTTCAGGTTTTTGCACAACATGGCAATCACACTGTTCCCTTCTTTGAGTACAAGCCCTACAAGAACAGATGGGGAGAGAGGAGTGGAAGGGGAAGAAACAGAGCAAGAGGGAACTAGGGATGACAACTTGTGCCAACTGTCTCTTCAGGCTGCCTCGCACATGCATAGTCTTCCTGTGGTAACCTCAGCATCCGGTGGCAAAATGTGCTGCCACGGAGAAGAGACGCGCGATGTCTGGGTTCACACAGCACTGTGACC